ACACTCAAGGGTCTGTAGGCACAGAGAGCAGGGAAGAAGATGGGTGGGGATCTGTGGCTCACACTCTCTTGTGAAGAGTTAGGTGGTCTCAAATGGCACTGCTAGACCAGCTCTGACCAGCCATTCCTCAGTGCTAAGTTCTCTCTACCATATTCTTTTATTTTAGACTTCTGCAGTTTGTTAAGATCAGCTTAATTTTTGGCCTGACCTCTGCAGTTAAGATATTCTTCTTGCGGCCATCTTTTCTGGGGGGGAGCTTGTTTGCTGGTATAGGAAAAGTAGTAAGTTTGTTGTAGGATGGGGTTAATCCTTATTAATGCAGTTTCTTAAATTTTTCAGCTCCTTGAGGAATCTTTGAGCTGCTTGGATTTTTGACAGAGGATTAATGCCAATAAGAAATGTAAAATGGGGATGTCACAAACCTCCTCATTCCTATGCTGTCACACCATGCTGCTCCCCAGAGAAGGGAGGCAAGGGAGACAGCATACCTCTAGGTCTCAGTAAGGAAAAAGGAAAAGGTTAGTTTAGATTCTCTCTCTCCATAAATGCCTGTGTCAGGGCTAATGATTCAGCACTCAAGGGCTTCAGTTTGTATTTAATTAATAACATTGGTAGACTTTGTGCCTTCTGTCTAACCATGAATGCTTTTGATCATCGGCAAACAGAAGATAGAAGTCATGCCAGAGCAAATAAATTATTTATGTGTGGTTTAAAAAAAGAGAAAGAAGCTGTTCCTGCCCCTTAACAAATGCAGCATGCAGGTTCTGCAGAGCATTAGGTTCTAGCACTGTTTGGGCTTTTTTTTCTTTCAGCTTTCAGTTTTCCAGCACTACTGATTCTCCTTAATTAAAGAATAAACAAAAGCACAGGTCAACTTAAAGGAGGATGTTTTTTAGAAAGGGAGTATCTGAAACATAAGCTCACAGTGGAGCTTAGTGGCTGTCAGTCTGCCTTTCCTTGGTGTCGTGGTTCCTTAGAAATGTGGTGCTATCTTCCCCTTTACTCATTCAGGAACTTCTCCTTTTCTTCATCCCTTGTCATTAAAGCCAAAGACATATAAATCAGTTTATTTCTTTTTCTTTCTCTGAGATGTAGCTTTTTATCTTCTACACATTTATGTATTAATTGCCTGGAAAGCAGCAGATAAGTAGGGAGCAGATTCTGGTCGAGATTCAATGTCTAAAATTGTCCCATAGCTACCTTGCATAGTGACTGCAAGATGCTTTGGGAAGTCAGTGCTGCTTGTACTGAGTACTTCAGTGCTCATCCAAGAGGGGTAGCTGTGAAGTGGTCTCAGTATCAGGGACAAAATGGAATGGCTGAAAAACTTGGCTGGGGAGCTTCTGGCAGGCTAGCTCAGCCTTCAGAAATGCTTTGGGGTCACAACTCTTCTTGTCAGGGAGGAAAGAACTGGAAATGTAACGTTTTGTCACATAAGCCAGAGTCCCACAGGCACAAATATATATCACATTTTTGTGTGATTATAGATTCCTCTTTAAGAACAGCTTCTGGCAGAACGTTCGCTTCCTTTTGCTGCGCATGGTGACAAATTGTTAGAGATTTTATTGCTGTCTTTGTATGAGGAATTCAAACTTGAGAACTGGGAGAGATTTGTTTTGTACCTCACAATTATCATGTCAAGCTTTCAGTCCATTTAGATGTCATTTGTGTTTTAGCAGGGTATGCCATTCAAACTAGGGATTGTAGATGCTTGGCATTTCTCTCTCAAATTACACAGGTCATAAGTGTGTGCCACAAGCAGCCAAATTCCTCGACTTTTCAGGGTGTCACGTGCAATGAGATTGCAATATATGTCTGTTCTGGAATCTGCTGTGGAGTAGAGAGGAAATGCTTAAAATTTGAAACTGAAAAATCAAAACTTTCACTTTCTGTGCCATTTTCTGAAGGAGCGCAAACCTGGTTTGGGTCTGGAGCTGTGGCTGCCGGTGAAGCCATCCTGCCTTTAGGCAGCTGTGACAGGCAAAACGCAGCATCCCGTGCCGGGCCGCTCAGTACATGCAGAGTTTTAACATCATTCAGGAACATTTGCTTTTTCTGTTTGACAAACTCCCATGCATTCCTTGGAACGTATTTTAGGTGCTCTGCAGAGAGCATTCCCATGGCCTGTTTGAGGCAAATCCCAATATTTCCTGAAGGGTCCTGGAATATGCCAGATGCAGTTCAGAGCTGAGACAGAACAGCCATGCTCCTGGAGAGTCTGGCAGACAGCATTTCCCTGTCACTGCTGGACATCAGCTCTGGCTTGATCTGATTTATTGAGGTGGCAAAGCGCATGAGCTTACAGCATTCATAATTTCTTAATATTTCCAAAACGGAATTACTTTCAAGATTTATGGGAGCAAAATATCTTCTAACTTGCTCCCTTTTTTTCCCATATGGGTATAATATTGCCCCAAAACTGTTCTTCCTCCTTCTTAAATGGAGCAAAAGTCTGAGTTAAAAGTCTGTTTCTCCAGCCCTGTATACAGGAGTATTAAATATTACCAAATAACAGTAGCTAGTCTAAGGCTATTGTCGTTTTTGCTAGAAAAATCCCCAGATTTACTTGTAGCAAATACAATAAAAAGGCCAATGATCATTTCACCCTTTCTTTGGAATTACTTTGGTACCCTAGTTGTCACATGCAGAAACGATACCATAGGGCATTAGATCAGTCATGCCTTGAGCATCAGCTGATTTTGGGGACTCCCCTGGGATCCAGGGAGTCTTAGGAGGATCTGACTTCCCTCCTGGTTTTACCAGGCACCTTTTGTAAATGGAAATCTGCACTAGGGAGAGGCATTTCTTACTCCACATCAGAGTAGTGTAAACTGTCTTTTCCAGATGTATCACTTGCAAACAGGCCAGTTACTTGCATGTATAAATAACATCAGCTTCTGAGTTAGGCCCGACCTTATAGCCTGTACCTTCTTTCTCATGCAGTGCTTTTGAGCAGGTGAACTGAGCTGGCAAAGGTTTCATTTCACTGCACCTCTTGAATCCTCTTGTTTCTGGAGAAGAGAATAAAGCCTGCTCATATACACGTTGGGAGACTGCGTGTCGCAGCAGCAGCCAGAGTAGCTTGGTGACCTTACAAAGCAGCCCCAAGGTGCTGATGAGCCCCAGGCAGTGCTGCCATCCCTCACTGCAGCTGCTGCATGGGGAGAACAGGGACCACTGTGTGGGACCTGGCTTCTGCTGGGAGTTCAAGGGGTGGTTGTAGAGGAAGGACTGTGAGCATCTGCGCTGTAGCCCTTCAGATTATAAAAGCCCTTGCATTGCATGATAGTCCTGCAAATATTCCTCCTGTTGGTGTTGGAAGGAGGTGGAGGTAAGTCCCTGTAGAACCCCTGGGAAACATAATGATTATATTTTGGTGCACCAAGATGTGTGAGAAAACACTGAACTAATTTGTCAAGTTATTGAAGTTTCTAGCATATTTTCAGAATAAATGTGTTACAGTTAATACTGTATTGTTCTTCATTTGTTTTTAAATAGGCCTGTTGGGTGTTTTTACTTAAAAGCTTCAGAAGCTCTAGCATACCTCCCCCACCTTTTCCCAGATAAAGTTGTATATATACTTTTGTATTCTCAGCTCTGGAAAAAACATTCCTTTCCTTCCAGATCAGCCATGTCATCTGTGCATCTTTCTTTTATGGTTATAGATGATCTTATTAAAGATTGCATGAGTGGATGTGAAGCAGTATGCATGGGTGAATCTGAGTCTTCTTGCTTTGTTAAATTCTCTTGGTCTCTTTCCCCTTTCCCTGGATTTCTGCATCTGTGACTTACTGGGCATCTACGATCTTCACTTTGATCAGTTTATAGTTTAGATTTCGTTCCATCCTTTCCTCACTGTGCTGCTATTTGTAATTGTTGCTCTGTACCTGGCTGTGGCATACTGCAGATGAGTTTATCCGAAATCAGGTAGTGCAAAGGTTATCTGCCTGCAGTAAGAGTTGCATGCTGAGTACAGAAACAGCCTGAAGGGAGAGCTAAACCCATGGGTTACATCTGTCCTGCTCCCATGTGTAGGTTGGCCAAGCTGGATCTACTTCAGGGGCATGTACCTTGCTCTGTAGTGGAGGTGATTTCTCTGACTCTGAGCATGTAGTGCATTCCTTTTCGTGGTGGGATTGATGTTGATGCAGAACATCTCTGCTACTGTTTTGATATAATTGAATGAACAGATTTCTAATAGCATTAGCATACTTTCTAGTATACTTGATACACTCAGAAATGGTCCCATATGGAAGTTAATGTTTCTATATTTGCTAATTGTTTCCTTTTCTTGGCCACTGTAGTAATCGTTTCTAGAAGAGACAAAGTTTTACTAGCTGCTGTGTTTGTGTGTTGAGGATATAATTACGATAATGTATTTCCATAATGACATGGTTAAGAAGGACTAGGTCTCTCTTTTGTAAGGGATTCTGGATAGATCGTAACTGTTTGGTTTGGCAGGAACCTCTCTTGAATCATTTATGTGTTAATGAATGCTGAAGAAGGCACTGAATTTCCATTTCCCTTCTCTGTAAACTACAAGCTGCTTCATGATCTCCTGAACTGTTTTCTTGCCTGTGTGGTGATAGCTGCTGTGTCTGTGCACGAGTGAGGCCAAAGCAGACTCCTCACACACTCACAGAGCACATAAACTGGCTTGGGCTCACAAAGCTGCAAGTCAAACTGCCTAAACCCTGCTTGCAATTTACAATTTATTGTAGCTAAATTAAAAGCCAAACAGTACTGGGGCAATTTTAAATTGTTGAGTGGAAGTGATTGCCAGGTTCACAACTTGAGTGATTTGAGTGTCCTTGTGGCACAAATTCTGGCAGGTTTGTTTCACTGCAGTCATCTTTGGGTAAAAGTAAAGTCTTCCAAATTACTCTGTTACCAGTGTCAGTTTAGAATCAGCATTTAGGTATGGATTCTCTTAACATTCCTGCAGAAATTTATCCTTCCTAGTTCAGGAGTTAACTTCTTTCTCATTTTGGTTTTCTAAGGTTCTCGAAGCCGGCACCAATGTTCTTGGACGATTCCTTCAGGAAATGGGCACGTATCAGGGACTTCGTACCTCCCTTTGGAATTAAAGGACAAGGTATGAGAAAACTACAGCTGTTGGAGAAGAAGGTGGTCTGCAGATGCTTGCCCCTTTTTCTTTTCTGTTTTAAAAACTCAGGTGGTCCTTTGGGCTCAGTTTATTTCCCCTGTTTGAGAGAATTATTGTATATGTAGTGCTCAGAAATGCGGAAGGGTTTTTACAGCTGGACTGTGGACCTCGGAGGCTGGCCTTAGGGAAGACGGTTTAGTACATGTGGAGAGTCAGTGCAACAACAGCAATTTAGACCAATGACCACATTCTAGAAGAAGCATTTTGACACTGGCTGCCAGAAGACCTTGTAGCAGCTTTGCTGACAGCAGCAGAGGGTTCAAACTGGCTTAAGTACCTTTAAGTCAGTAATTCTCTAAAGAACAGGAAAGATGCCTTGGGCTTGACCACTGATACAAATCTTCATTTTCTTATCATAGAATTTTGTAGTTGGTCTACTTATTTACTTATATAACAAGTAAGAAAAGTTTGTTCAGATGCTTTGATGATAATTTTAATATGCCCTGTCCTCCAGCTGGAGTGAGGCAAAAGGGGCTGTGTCTCAGCTGTGCTGTGGGAAAGCAGGAGTAGTGGCTGGTGGATGAGATGGGAGCCAGTAGCCCACCCAGAAGATGATCTTGTTTGGGGTGACAAGTTCCTACTTGTGCCACATGTGCAACCACAGCCTCTCTGTCCGAGTGGTGGTGGAGCAGAAGGCTTGTGCTCACTGCAGTGACTTGCTGAAGACTATCTCAGGTCCTGTGTATTTAATAAGTTTTTGTGGTATTGCATCAACTTGGAATTTTTTTTTCCACTGACAAACTCAAGATTACAGATAATCCTGTAGGAGTTTAAATACCTGGTGGAGAAAGAACTGCAGCCACAGAAAACTTGGCTCTGTGTCTCTGCCTGGAAGCAGGTGTGGTAGTTGTGGAACAATCTCTGATCAAATCAAAGGCTCTGCTGACAAATTGCTTTTGGCTCGCATCAGTTTCCTTCTTTGTTTTGTCCATTCCTTGTCCAGTCAGTCTTTGCAGCTCAATAGGAAGCTAATTGCTGTCCTCTAAATCAGCCAGCAGAGTTTGCAGCAAAGAACTAACAGTGGCAGCACAAGTGGGAGGCTGCTGTGACCACAGGAGGGCTTGTCCCCTTCTAACCAGCACACAAGGTGTACAAAGCTAGGGCAAGATCCCTGCGAGTGTGGAGGTGGGATTTGCAGGTTACATGTGATGTCAGCTAGACCTAATAAAAATCATTCTATTAAACTGAATCCAAATGGAGAAATTCACCAAAAGAGAATGACAGAATGGCTCTGGCAGCCTTCTCTCTGGGTTTGTTGCCAGCTTGTATCACCACTGCAATGTTATGTAAATCTGGTGTTTTATATTGGATTTCCTCAGTTAAAAAGAGAAATGAGAAATTGCCATTATTTAAATGGCTATGAGCTGAAGCCATGGGACGGAAACCGATGAATAGGTTATTTTTTTAACACCCTCCTGGGACTGAATTTTGTGCCAAGTTTCAGTCTGGAGCAAGTTCTGTGTGTGGGAGGGTTGAATTATAAATCTGTGTAGCCCCGGATTTCTAATGGCCGTGCTGACAGGCTGTGAGTCCTAGCGATGCGAATGGCGCCCTTTCATGTTACACATCACTTGGAATTCTTGCATCAGTCTTTTCTGGCTGTCCCATGGGATGCATTTGGGCTCAGACAACTGATTGGATGATGGAATCAGCACCTCATTAGGGCTTTCAGTCAGGGCAATCTAATGATATCCAAACAAATGATCCATGCAGGCAGCGTGGAGCTCAGTCACGTGCTGGTGCAAGGTGAAGACTGTCAGAGCTGGGATGTGCATGGGAAAAGGAGTAGTCAGGGTGGCTGAGGAAGTGTAGAGAGACGTGGCTGTGTTGAAACAGACGGGGCAGGAGCTCTGCTCTGTGTGTTGGGCAGCCCCATGACGCTGTCAGCGGGGATTTCCGACGTGCACCATGCTGGGAAAGGTGGTTGGTGTTTATAGACACCGACTGCAGCTGAGATGGCAATGGGAAGACCTTGCTGAGAACTGTGGTGAATATCACCTGCTGTTTTTAAGTCACTGTGATCTGTTCCAAGTGCAAATGGCTTTTTGTTTGGTTGGATCTTTTTGGTTTTTTTGGGTTTGCTTTTTTTATGTTTGAAACACAGCTACAGGATGAGCTCACTTTCAGGGATGCTGCATGTTCCAAGGAACTTCTAGAAACTAATATGTGGTGTCTTGAAAATGCTACGATTATGAAACCAAGGGATTCTTAGTAGCTTGGGAGCCAATCCACCATTTCTACTTTCTTTTGTTAAAGTTTCTATTCTTACCTAAGTTTTGCTTTGCTTTGTCTCTGAAAAAAAGCTCAATTAAGTCCTTTTTAATCCATCACTTTGTGTTTGTTGGTCCAAGAAAGGACAGTTCCAAGATTGCAAGAATGAGTCCTGCAATATTTAGGGGAAAGCAGCTTTTGAGAAATATTGTCTGCTGGGCTGCACTAATTTGAAATAACACGTCTCTATAAATTACATGTAAAAGAGTAGAAATGGCTCAGAAATGTTCAGGGCAGGACTACTGCTCTTTAAAGGTTATCATATCAAAGAGAAGGCAGTATGCTGATCATTTTGACACAGTCCATCAGAGATTTTCATTTTCTTTGACGAGAATCTGATTGTAAAGACAGCTCTCCTATCTCCAGATGCTTAAAAGTACTCAGTACAACATAGAAAGTTTAACAGTGCTTCTTTGTGAAAGATTTCTCGCTCCTTCACTCCAGTAGTTATTTTCTGATTTGGCCATCAGCCCAGGCAAGGAGGTTTTATGGACAGAGTGCTCCATTCTTGGCAAGGGCATTTGTGTAGAAGCCCTCAAGGTGAATACGGTCCTGAATATGAAAGTTTTTAGACTTTCCCTGAATGCTGCTGGTCATGAAATGGACTATTGCAGTAGGAATACTGCACATCCTGTGTCAGATTGGAAACTGCTGCTATTGTCAGTTAACAGCTTTAGTGATTACTTGCATTCTATGAAAGAGGCACAGAATAAGCAGGTGGCAACCCTGCTGCTTTCTGAGATGAGGCGTGTGGTATGAAGTATTGCGCAAACTCTCTTTGAACAGTGGTTCTGAGAGTCCTCAACTAGTTATTAGAAATAGATGAAGAGGAACTTAAGAGTAGCTGTTGTACCTTTTTCTTAACCTGTCTTAGATGGGTAGAGTTTTAGTATATATTGTAGTTGTTGACTGTTCACCAAAGATCTGGACCAAGGATTAGTCCTAATTACTTGGTCACAACGCCCAGCAAACTGGGACAAAAGGAGAGGTGAGAGCTGCCAGGAATGTTGGAGCTGATCCAGTAGGCTGAAGATGTTGTTGCATTCATCACAGGTGTCTGTAGCCCTTGTGGAAACTCTGGTTTCCTCCGTGTGCAGAGGATAGGAGAAATAACAGGTATGAAGAGGTGTGATTATGTTTTGACACCTTAAATGGTCGCTACCAGTACCTAGTTTAGCCATTCATGTAACAATGACTCCAGGTTTTGCCCAGTGACTTCTGCAGCTGGCTGTGAATTTATGAGATTATATTTCAGAATCTGGATCAAGATCTTTAAATGAGGAATGGTCATGTTGACAAACAGGCCAGTGTCCTGTTTGACTGCACTTACTTTTAGAAACTGAGATTGTCTGCCACATCAAACTTGTTGTCCCCTACTGTGGGATTTGACAGACTCTGGAAATGGGATGGGCCACTCTAAGTGCTTGGAAACGATGACTCCGTCTCTATTAATAAATAAAGTGGTTGTCCTGTGGTTGTGAACGCTGTTGAGCTCATTGTTCAAACAGATTCACTCCCTGCCCCCCACAAAAATAGAGTGGCTGTGTCCAGGCTTCCTATCAAAAAGGTCACTGGCCTGTATTAGCCTGTGAATGCGTGAGAATTGTAGAGGAGGATGTTTGTTGGCCCTGGTGAACACATCTGGGACTGTGCTAACACTTTATTAGTGTGGACTCGAGTAGGACCGTGCGGGCCCATGCCCTGCTGCCAATTTGTTTGCTGTGTGTTTATAGCCAAAGTGAGGAACATGATGAAATTGGTCAACTCTCACAGTTGTCAAGAAGATCAAACTGTAACAAGATGTTGGAGCTCTAAAAGCTCCAAATGTCAAGGGTTCCTGTGGGGGACAGCTCCAGCTGCCGAGCACCCTCCTGTGTCCCAGGCTATTGTTTTGGCATTAACTTGGGTGTTGGAGTGCCTCCCATGTTTCACCATTTGCATGGGTATAATTTTCTTGTAGGAATTCTTTCCCAGCACCCACCAAGTCTGTTGTTGCAACTTTTTTCAGTGAAGAGCAGGAAGACTGCAGCAATCTTGGGCTCTTAAATGAGTCACATGGAGGCTTTTTTAAATCTAAACTGAAATTTCTTCTTTTGGATTTGCACCTTTTTCTAGCAGTGCTTCTATCAGTGTAATTATAGAGGTACGAATATGCCCATGCTGTCCACATAGTTGCAGAGATTCTCTAGCATGTGCACTGCTCTTAGGGTTAAATTTGTCAATGAAGAAGCAATGGAAAAATTGTTTATAGTGTTAGTAAGATTATTAATCCCAGAGGGCCTCCTCCCCAAATTTACCTCTGTAGCTAAAGCAAAAGGAAAGAGTTATTTGGAGAAGGGCAACAAACAAGACTGGAGAAATACCTGACTATTAATAGAATTTCTCAGTACATGTGGTTTGAAGAATATAAAAGGCTTTCAGAAGAAAGAGTAGCTAGTATCTGGCATCCTCTCTGTGTAATGAGGACGGGAGAGTTGCTGCAGTTTTTTGGTTTTTTAACTTAAGTGAAAACATATGGCACAGCATACACTAAAAAACTAAACAGACGTGATCAATGTAATATTTCTGCCATGCATTTAGTCAGTAATTGTGTCACTGCTTAGCAGCAATTATAGGTCTTCACTTCCACCTTTGTTCCTGCTCAGTTGTTTTGAGCA